TGTATTGCTTGTATTGTTTTTGTGTTATTTTGTAAATGTATGTGTGTGTTAATATGCTTTCATTCTTTTGTTTTTAAAATAAAAAAAGAATAAAGTCAAAACTAAGACATGCCAGCAAATACTGCGTCTGGATTTGGAATAATTTTTCTTACTTCTACTAGGTTTTCAAAATTGTTAACAAGCTTTAAACTTTTCAATACACATTATTTATCATTTCATTATTTAACTTTATAAAATTGCTAAATGAAATTCAAGCTAAAGTACATGATTTAGACATTACAGATGCTTTACAAATCTCATAAAATCATCTTTTTTTCTGAGACAGGTGAATTGTTAACAAAGGGGTGGCCCTCACAGTAATAGAGAATAGGTCTAAGTGTGGCTTGTTTGCTCAGTTTTTTGTTTATCACTGTCAATTATTCATATTTCCTCTTCTATGTTCATCAAATGCTGTTGCAACAAAAGTCCCCTCTGCAATTGCTACTATGTAATTTCTCCGTCCCTGGAGAGAGGTTACCATCAACCCGAAAGCTCATTTTGCTTGAGCTATAGCATAGTGTTTTTTATATCGTGAGATAACTTATTTCTTCTGGTGCAGAAAAAGGGGGATCATTCAGTGATTCTTATTTTATTTTGCAGGAGTCTATGAGAACTATTAGTACAAGTCTCCTCAGAAATATTTTATAGTTTTTAACCTGCCATTATAATAACATGTGAGGTTGAAATAACAATTCAACATGACAATTATTTCCAGTACGCATTACTTAAAGAGCATTAATAGAACTGGATACTTATAGCTCGAACAAAATACAGCTGATATTAGCTATTTAGCTAAATGTGGGAACAGCCACCTGCAATTTTTCTTGGAATAACCTAAACCTTTGCAATTATGCATGTTCCACTATTTTAGCATATTGTTTGAATTTTTAGAAGTTCAAAAATGGCTAATTTTGAAATATTTGAGCTCATACTACGTATCACTAAATATTGACTACTATCAAAAGGATGCATGAGATTCCTCTAGGTACTATAATTACATTTACTTATATGAAACAGAAGAAATATTGTCATGATACAATACTAATGGAGACTTTACCGTTCTCCTGTACGTTGCAAAGGTAGCACAGGCTCTTACAATTTTAGTGACAATTTAGTTGTCACAGTAGTACTGCTGTTAAGATTAATTCTTGAAACTGTGACATTGGGTATGAGCCTAATGGCTTCAAGTGAATTATTTCATTCTAACTTTACTGTGTGTGGAGTAGTACTCTCTGCCATGGTTTCCAGATGAGAAAGGTCTATAAAGGTTAAAAATGTGTTCAGGGAATTCAGAGGATCATGGCTTATTTGGAATCCAAATATAGTTCTGGTTATAGGACACAAGCTCTTAGCCAATATGTGTGCTATAGGTACAGCATACCTGAATTTTACTACAGTAAAAAGTATACAGCACTATGTGAATAAATGCTTGTGTACTTTCACTGTCTTTTTTTCTGTTCCCACACAAACTCTGTTGTGGATTTCGATTAATGGCTTTGGATCATTATGTTCACTAACCACATCTTTCTTATCCAAGAACACTTATGGAAAACACTTGAATTTTGTTCATTTTAAGAAAAAAGATAACACACTATTAGTTTCTACTAGATATGCACTGAATTTACCACTAAGGACTATTCCCCATGAAACAAAAAATGCATGCAAACACAATTCATTTTTGTGAATTTTATTTTTATATTCTATTACAATGTTAGGTGTCCAGTGTAGTTACAATGTAATTTCTGACAAACACACATTTTGAGCATTCATAGATCTATGAAATTTGAAAAGAATTCTATGTAAACAGCATTATGGTATTCATGGCTATTGATTTATTTTCATTAAACAAATCTTGATTGTTTTCCTCAAGGATATAGCATAATTAACTACAGATATTTTAAAAATTGTTGGCTTCCATACATAGATCATAAAGCTGGCCAATTACTGGGCTATCCTAATTTAGCTGGCCATTTTTTCATTATTTCCATTAACATTTCTCTGAAATTGTTATTAAGGATGGCTTATTTACATATACATTTTGTTTTCAGTCTTATTAATAAAGCTATCAAAATTCTATAAAATCATGCTAAACATTTTGTGTTGAGATTTTCAACAATTACTCTTTAGTCACTTGTACGTTTTGCAAAGTAGACAACAGATGAAACGAGGTAAAATGAGATACCGCCACTTTTATCCACAGTGTGTGTATGAGTTTGTGTTCAAATTTGTGTGTTCCCATTTTATTCTAATTTAAATTGTGCAATGTAACTGCCATTTGAAATCATTAAGTGACAGAATTTATATATTAGTATGATATTCCTTCAGAAGGATGGTATCTTATAGTCAGTACAAGCACTAACCCACGTGAAAAGAGAAGGCTAATTTTACTTCACACTACACTTAAAGAACTGCTAGAGTCAACTATTGAGTCAAATATTGCTAGAGTCAAATATTATTTTCAATTAATAGAACACTATAAGCAGTCATTTCTGGGGCAAAAATATATCTATAAAAGCTAAACATTTATAAAATTATAGGTCAGCAAGAAATAGGTTCAGGATGAAATAAGAAAAAGAGCAATTTTGTAATTCATTGTTTTAACTCCTAAGAAATAATCGTGTGGAGGACCTGGTTGCTAATATGTTTTATTTTACATAAAAGTCAGGCAATGTAAAAACATTAATAGTAAATCACAGACAAATCTGCAGAGCAAACATCTTCTCATGGTGCCTCATATAAAAATTCACAATGCAATTATATTTCTATGGATTTATAATATTGAGGATGAACTGAATCAAATTTAAAGTTATAATAGTTTCTTAAAATGCATTAAAAAATCTTACAAAAGTAATATATTTTATATGGTTTCCTAGTTAAATTGTCCAAACTATTTTTAACAGTGCTATCAGGTATGCAATGCAATGTTGTATATGATCTAGTTAAACACTGCATGGTATCTTTCATTTTAAATTAAAAAGTGATTTGACTAACCTAAGATGAATGATGAAATATAGATGTAAAGAATCTTTGGTCCTAGATTTAATTTCCTGGGTAAATATTTCTTAATTTCCTTAAGACAAATGTCTAGAAGAGATAATCTGTGTAGATGTTGTAAAATACATCAAAATTTAAAAACACCCTAGACAAAATTTTGCAGAAATATCCTTTTTAAAATTTTTCTATGTCTATATTTCTTTGGTTTTTCCCTTTGTTTAACTCTCCTTCTCTACCAATATGAATTCATCTCTCTAGGCATGTTTAAATCATTTCAACTGGATCTAACAATAAAAATATGTGTTCTAATTAGTTATATAAATATAATTTGCTATTTTTTATGTTTAAAAAGCAAATTGATGAAGTATGCTTTATATATTTGCTTCAAAAATTCTGTCAAAACTCATTTAAATAAATTTACTGTCTACTCAGGAAACTCAATTTTTGCCTATGCATAGATGACAGAAAAATGATTTAATGTTCCTGGAATACTCATGAGCAAATCCGCCATGATTATTTACTTTAAACTGCTCTTAACAAGGGCTTTTTTCTCCCCTCTGGCTTTAGTGGTTGAATCCAGGGCTTTCGTATCATTGAGTTATATCCTCAGCTCTTTTTATTTTGAGACAGAGTCTTTCTAGGTTGCCCAGGTTGGCCTTGAATTTGTGACCCCCTGGCCTTAGGCTCCTGATGAGCTAAAATCTTAGGTGTGTGCCACTGCACTAGCTAAAGGGCTTTTTAAAAAACTAGATCTCAAATCACTGGTGGTATGATTATACCTAGAACAAAATGAGTATGTGCTTTTATAATTATAAATTCAGACTAATTTATTGATTAATGAAAAATATACTTCATGTCATAGAATATTAAGATAAAAGTGACATCCTGTTTATTTTGCAGATGGAATAATAGAAGTCTGAAATGATTACTTCTATAATTCGGAGTGAATTGGTAGCAAGAGCGTAATTTCATTAGAATCACTATTTGAATGCTATTCATTCACACAAAACACCTGGCAAGCAGGTGTAAAAAGCCTACCATATATTATAACATGAAAGCTTGACAAACACAGTTAGGATAGTATGTAAGTGATGTAATGAATACCGTGCCTAAGCCATTATCTCCTCAAACATGTACGGTGCTATCAAATAGCTAATTGCATATCAGGAAGTGTTTAATTGAAAGGAAATATCAAATTTACTTAGTGATAAATGATAACTAAACAAATTACATAAAAAAGAAGATAAAAATGACAAAAGAGTTGGCCATTATCAGTATTTCTAGGGAGAATAGTCCAGTGTCAGATTATGTAAATAATAATAAATAGAACTTCTGTTAATTTCTTTTTCCTCCAGTATCTTTATATTTTTCTTTTGAGAAAAATGTGATATATAATTAGGATAATTTCTAAAGTTCTGTGGTTACTGTAGGATAAAGTAGAATATACAAAAGACAGACTAGCTACGTATAGTGGTGTGCACCTGTAGTCCCAGCTGCTCAGGAAGATGAGGTGGAAAGTTTACTTGAGCTCAGGGTTCAAGAACAGCCTGGGCAGCGTAGTGAGAGCCCCTTACAAACAAAACAAAAAACAAAACAAAACAAAAAACAAAACAAAACAAAACAAAACAAAATGAAACAAAGTGAAACAAAACACAGGATATGAAGTGCAGTACGTTTGTGAGTAAGATGAGTGAGAGTCCAGGTAAATGAAAAATATTTGTTGAAATTCATAGCCTACATGTGTTTTTAATCCCATGGCATTTTATAAGCATATATAAATTGCATCAGATAGAATGTTAGAATACATTTAAGCACCTCAAAATATAGAATGATCTCTGTACATGGATAAATGACTGTAGTTCACTAATAGCAAGATGTTTTAACTTTACTAGTTAACATTAGTAATTTCCATTACTTTTATCAGGAAATTCATTGCAAAGCCAAGGCAAAATACTTTTAAGGATTTCTAAATAACAGATATTTTCCTATGTATGCTTGTGTGAGTGTGTGCAGGGGGTCCTTGTGATTACATAGAAAACATGGATAATTTGAATCTAGTCAAAAGATAACAAGGCAGATGTGAAAATTTTCTACATGGTCTTCTGATTTATTAAAAAATTGAATCACCTTTGCTTGCTGCAATCAACAATCCCTACAGAGTTACTCTTATAATTCTTACAGAATTATTTACCAGTGTAAAAATATCCGTCTACTAATGGGGCTCACTTGTCATAGAGAATCATAGCTACTGACAGCACTGCCTTTGAGACTATTTTGATAAAAAGTGTTTGGCATAGACCTCCTTAAAAGAGTCTCATTAACACAAATAAATCACCGTCACAGGCTGTAAACAATATATAAAAAATGAAGCTCTATTTCTTGCTGTCCTTGCCATCTTTCCCTTTGTCTTCTTTCTCTGTTTTGTCTGTTTCATATTTCTCTTGATCTGGCTTTGTTACACTATCATATGAAGGCGGAGAGATGGTAGATGGAGTTGCATCTGTTTTTTCTGGACTGGAGTTCCCATTAACATTGTCAAAAACTATTTCTTCTTTATTGGGCAAGTCATCATCTCTGTCTCCATCTTTTATGTATATACTTGATATATTTTTGACATTTTTCCGTAAGAGGTAATGTCTGTATGCTCGCTGAATGACAACAGCAGATACATCCTCTTGCTTTCTTTTTAGTGTAGTTGTGATAGGTTCATAGGACACTTTAGAAGGATTTGCAGACATGAACCTTTCTTCCATCTGTGAACGGAGAGAATCCATCTCCCCGCCTTCACCCAAAACCCGCTTTGTAAAGGCGAATAAGATGTCCAGGCAGTGGATCCGGTCTCCACTGACCATGGGCAGGTCCATGGCAATGAGCTGCACTTTGTTTGGTTTTGCTATGAGGAGAGGGGGATCCAGGGCAGCTGCAAAATCGGAGAGCTTGCTGTATTCTATGAACTGAGTTGCATCAGGGTCAAACTTCTCCCAAACTTCGTAGAACATCTCAAAGTCATCCTCACTCAGGGGTTCAGTACTCTCTTCAGTGGCAACGCTGAAGTTCTCAAGGATGACAGCGATATACATGTTCACCACGACCAGAAAGGAAATGATGATGTAACTGACAAAATAGAAAATCCCAACAGATGGGTTCCCACAGTCTCCTTCAGTTGAACTTCCTGGATGAACTTTGTGGGGGTCACAGTCTGGAGGTCCACTGTTGAGAATAGGTGCCAGTAGTCCATCCCAGCCAGCAGAGGTGGTGATTTGGAACAGGCAGATCATGCTATTGCCAAAGGTCTCAAAGTTGAACATGTCATTAATTCCAGCTTCCTTTTTAACATAGGCAAAGTTGGACATTCCAAAGATGGCGTAGATGAACATGACCAGGAAGAGCAGGAGGCCGATGTTAAACAAGGCAGGAAGGGACATCATCAAAGCAAAGAGCAGCGTGCGGATCCCCTTTGCTCCTTTGATCAGACGAAGGATTCTGCCAATCCTGGCAAGACGAATCACTCGGAACAGGGTAGGGGACACAAAGTACTTCTCTATCAGGTCCGCAAGAAACATGCCTATATGAGGAGGGGAGAAAAAGGAGATATTTAAGTATTCTGCTGTAGAAAATCCTAATTCTAATTTTTTCTGCCATCTTATCACTGATGAATTCAGGACTGTTAGGTTATACTGACTTCCATTTCTTCATGTTAACAGTTTAAGCAATTCTAAAGGAAAATCAATAGACTTACCATTGTAAGAGTTTTCCCTTTACTAAGTTCCCAGACATTTTCTCCCCTTCACAATGTAATATTTTGTAATTATAAGGATAAAGTCTGCTCATGTAGAAAATTGAAGGAATGCAATAACATAGTAAATAGGAAATTACATATTATAATTAGTTGTATTAAATACAAGTAGTGATAGTGGACTAACATTCACTATTTTGTTGAGTATCACTTAAATATTCTTGTAGCATGTAAATACATATGTGTGCACACAATCATTTCAGATGATTTTGTAGCTTTTCTTTGTAACATGTTTTAGTCACTGTGTCATATATCATGCAGACATTTCCCACACACATAATTTCTGTAGTTGTACAATATTCTGTGAAAGCAATTACATATTGAAGAATAACATTTATGGTTTATTTCTATTTTTGGCTTAAAATGAATATCTAAATAAACACATATTGTAGATTGCATGAACATGTGTTTTGATAATACCTAAATAGAAGTTGGACCAAACAGTACCTTTAAAATTTTGTTAAGCATTGCTAAACTTATCTCCAGAAAATCTATTCAAATTAGCACTCTGCATAACAGTGATTGAAAAGGCTCATTCACTATATCCACTGGTACTACACTTTTTACCAGAACATCTTTACAACATTAAAATTAATTTATTATTATACTTTATTTGCATTTTTAGAAAAACAATGTATATCTTTCTGATATATTCAATACTTTGCTTACATTGTTTTAAACTTTTCTTTTTGTCTGAGTGAAATATTTGCTTATTTTTGAGTAAGAACGTTTGCTATATTGTTATTGATCTATTTTTCAGTTAGGAGTATTAAGCCATTTTTAGCCTTAAAGGTTTTATTTATTCATTTGTTTAGTTTTTGTTTTAAAGAAGATAAAAATAATAAAAAAACTTTAGAAATGATATAGAATTTCAGAAAACAAGATGATAGGATTCAACAATAGTTATTATATTGCATATTGTTGTTTTCAAAGTAGACTTAAATGATGCATAAAATTTTCTGTTTTATAATTGTCTTTCAATCTACCTTTGTGTCTGATGAGTTTTCTCCCATTTAGTACTCTGAATGTTATTCAATCATATCCTGTGTTGCTTTTTTCTTTTTTGACTCACGCTTATGTCATGAACTGCAACAGCTAATCAAGTTCATGGATATATATCTATGACCACATATTTTCTACTTGACTTCATTTTTTAAAACAAAACAATTACATTTGATCCATATGATCTTATTACCAAATACATTAGTAATATTCTATATATTGTAGTTTAAGTTTAAACAATCTCTTTGACCTTTTATTTTTAAGCAATGTTATATTATCATCAGAGTTACAATATTTTTATGGTAGTCTTAACATTGAATATGATAAGCCATCTCTCATTAATTATTCTTCTAGGTAAATTTTAGATTGCTCTAGGCTTATATTGTCAGTTTAACTACCCCTATTTTTTTTTATTTTTGTTTTTTTTTCTGATACTGGGAATTGAACTCATGATCTTGTGCTTGCCAGGCAAGTGCTGTGCTGCTGAGCTAAATCTGCAGCCCCTACCTACCCCTATTATATAAAAATTCATTAATATTTTCATTAATTTAAAAAATTCTTTTACAAAATGATCATAATTATAAGAGACTTCTTATTTAAATACAAGGTAAGCCTTTCATTTATTTCAAACTTTTTGTTTTTTACTTTTTTATAGAAGTTTTATATGTTGAATTGTTACTAGGTGGTTCACCATATTTATATGGAAGTTGAATGAGATTTTTCTTCAAGTATATTTTCTAACTTTTTCCCATATATCAATTATTAATATTGATGCATATAATTTTAAAAATTTCCCTTCTGAGTTACAATTGAATTTATTTTGATTGATTCTTTTCATTTTAAAATAACATCATAATATAGTGAGAGATAAAGATCATTTGCTCCCTGATTATGAGATATGTACTGGTTGTTTCATATCTAACTGCAATGGTTAAAACTGTTTAAAAAACAGGATGTTAGAAGGATTATTTTCTTTCTGACTTAATTCCATCATCTGCTTCTTATTGTTAGTATGAAATCACTACCTAAATTTTAATTTTTTTCCTATGTCTTACCATTAGTATATGTGATCATATTATTTTTAAAAATTTGATTTAAAATATTTATTCCAAATTATGTGGTCATTAATATTATGAATATAGGTTATGTGGCCTTTAATTTTTCTAGGTCTTTTCTATCATCTTTGAGTTTCATTTGCAGTAAGTAATCCTCACAATCTGTCTCATTTAAAATTTATGAATAAGTTTAATCCTAAAAATATTAGGTGTGTGAAGATAATGAAAAGAAGATAGAAAAACAGATATGACAAGGACTGTGGTTGGTTGAGAAATGATTTCACTTTACAGACTGGCCGAATATGAAGTTGTGAGGAAGAACGCTACCATTTATTATGACTTTAAATTCAAGGGTAATTTTCAGAGTCACAGATATTCTGGTTTTTCATATCATTAATAGAAAAATAGGCTTCATCTAGACTAACGGTAGAAATAATTTCAGATTCTTCCTGGCTTCCAAGACACATCTATGAATAAACATGTTACCCAGCTTTGCAAAAAGCAAATTTGGAAATTAAATATTAACAACAAGTAAGCCTTTTAACAGAAAGAAATGCTTGGCTGTTAGGTCTGTAGTGTGAACTCAGGAGTTCTTCTTTAGTTTTTATTAGTACATATTAAGGACATATGATGAATATATTCATGATGGGAAGTAGCTAATTTACATATTATATAGTAATCCTTTTTATTTTCCCTATCTCATGACCCCATTCCTAGAGCCCTTTTCCATCTTCAATAGGTCTACTTCCATATTTTCTATCATCTATTACTTTTTATTTGCTATTTAAATCATTTATGCTTTAAGTTTCCCATATAAGAAAAACCATGTGATTTTTAACTTGCATCCTATTTATTTCACATAGCATTAGGGTCTCAAGGTGCATCTGTTTTTTTCTACAAATAACTCAAATGTGTCCTTGTTATGGTCTAGTAGTGCTCCATGGTGCATAGATGCCATATTTTTCTTTATTCATTCATTTGTTGATGAACATATTGGTCATTTCCCAAATTGAGCTATAGTGACCTGTGCTGTTATAAACATGGGTATCCTTGTATCACTATAATATGTCTTTATCTTTATTGGGAAGATGCACAAAAGGAGTGTACCTGGAATGCAGGAATTCTGACAAAGGTTTTTGCTTTGGTTCTAAGGTTCCTTTATTCTTTTATTAGACAAACTTACTCAAAAGTAAGTTTACATTTAATAGTTCAGATTTTTCTCTGACAAGCATGTGTGGATTTAGTTTATTTCAAATTAAGATTTGATGAACAACTGGCCTTACCTACAATGGAGAGAATCACAACCACAAAATCAAAAATGTTCCATCCCACTGTGAAGTAGTAGTGTCGGAGGGAGATGAGTTTCAGCACACATTCTCCAGTGAACAGGACAACGAACACAACATTTATCCAGTACAGAACTTCCACTGTGCTCGAATCCTGTCCCTCTTTTTCTGCCATCATGGTTACCATATTGAGACAGATAAGAACCATAATGGTGATGTCAAAGGCTTGGTTTGTTACGAGGTCAAATATACATCCTTGGAACTTGTTCTGTAAGAGAAAAGAATGACAAAAAGTAGAGTAAATATTTCAAGTAGTATTATATCTGTAGTTATGCAAAAAAGACAAGTTAAAAATAATTTTAATTTAGTGTTATAAATTCTATATATTTATATAAATAGTTTATACACATATATATTTACCCCTGGCCGGGGAATTGGCTTTTGTGGTTTCTTGGACCCCAGCTTTTTCATTGCATTATAGTATTTTTTTTGTTCTTCTGTCATGAAGATATCTTGACCTCCAAGGTAAAAAATTAAAAAAAAATCTAATTAAAACCAGAATCATTGTGTACCTTTTTCTTCTGAACCTTAAAATAAATTAAAGAGGTATTAATAAATTGTATGCATTTTATTATGTACACAGTAGCTATAAATTCTGTCTTAAAAGTTACCTGTGCTTAAGCACATGAGCCTACATACATAATATAATGTGCAAATATAAAACATAGCCATTATATAAAATAATGATTGTTTCAACTACATTTCATGTACTAACATATGTTGTTTTAGAGTATATGCTGATATTTCATTTTCTCTGCTATTTGTCTTAGTAGGGATTTTATTGATGAATGACAAATATATTTTGAAAGGATGCAACAGCTAATAGTAAATGTTTCTTTTGATGATTTGGCTAATATTTAAGACTATTAGAAGGAGTAGAGACCAGAAAAAATTACTGAAATAATTTTATATTCATTAATATGCATTCAATATGGTACCATTTGTCAGAGAAAAATGAATTCATTATAAGTAAGTCACATACATTTCCCTATCTATATCTCTATCCACAATTGCATCTATGTCTATATTACAAGAAATATTTTAGCTCTTAACTTCCAAAAAATGAATTTTAGCCTAAATACTTATTGGGTATCAAAATCATGTGTGATAAAGATGTAGGTACTACACAAATTACCAATAATTATGCCTGGGAAACTGAAAGAGTTTGTAATTCATTGTATAAAATGTAGTACAATCATTACATTTCAGTAGTAGAAAGCTGATATCTAAATAAGATTTTATTCTTTTTACATTGAAAAAGCGTAAAACTCACAGAGTGGTTTTAGAAGCTTTGGATATTCCTTTAGGTTTTGTTAGTTTCTTTAAATAATCTATAATTTTTATGGCTATGTGCATATTCCACATTGGTCTGTAATAAAACCTTTTCAAAATCATAGCATACTTTAGAATAATCCATGTCATTAGAGATGCATTTTTGCAATTAATGATTCTGAAATCCTTCCTTGTAAGGTCCTGGAGTTGAAAATGACCCAGTCCTGATTTCCTGTTAGTTTTCTTGGATTAAAAACATTTAGTTTCATGTTATACTGTATTTCATACTCCTCAAATACCTATTACCAGTCTTTCTTTGTTAGAGTGTTTTAATTCACCTTTCCTCCAGTTCCTACGCAGTCTTTTTTTTTTTTTTTCCTCCGGTACCGGGAACCGAACTCACGACCTTGCGCTTGCCAGGCAGGCGCTTTTGCCGCTGAGCTAAATCCCCATCCCCCCTACGCAGTCTTTATGTAACTATTGTTTTCAACTGATAGGCATGTGACAGTCTGTAAGCCAACGTTAAGGGATGCTCAGGCACTTTATTGTTTAACGGTGGCAACTTGAATACTAGCGCCTTAAACCTTAGCAGCAGAGTTGAAAACATACTGAGGACAGACCTCTGAATTAGAGGTGGAAAATCAAAGTAGCAGTTGTGTCTTCATCTAATGATATCTTTGAAGGGTGGAATGAAACTAACAGGTGATTTTGAAAGTTCCCATAGAGAACTTCTGTGTTGTGTGGTTCTGATCTCCTGTGGATAACATAGTGGGAAAGTGAACCCTTTTAAAATTTTGCTAAGGGAGAGCAATCCACTATGTCAGGCTGGCCTATCAGAATGCTATGCTGTGTCCAAGCTATATTACACATTAGGTTAAATTACAGTTCTGGAGTTACACTATCTTTGTTTAAGTCCCATCTCTGTTGTCTCTAGACAAATTTCTTAATCTCTTTAATTACAAAGTACGGTACGGTAGTGTAACTACATTAATGTTTGGAAAAGATCAGTTGAGATAATGCATGCCAGACCCTCAGCATGATGCTGACAAGCAGCAAGCATCCAACACATTCACCTTGCCATGGGTTGTGCATCCTTGATCTGAAAACATGAAATCTGAAGGTTTTTGATCACCAACAACATAGTACTCCAAGTGGAAAATTAGTATAATAGGCAGGTAGCACTGACATTGCAGCCGCAATAAAGATGTAGTATATAATCTCTTATTGTGTAACATAAATAAATGTTTTATTTTTAGCAGCCACACTAAAAGTATTGTATACAATTATCTATTTTATGACATATATACACACACACACACACACACACACACATGCATTACATATAGTATAAATACATTTTGATTTAGAGCTGCCAAGATATCCCATTACTTATACAAATATTCCAAAATCCAAAAATATCTGAAATTCAGAACATACAAATCTCCTAAGCATCTTGGGGTAAAGGAGACTCAGCCTTATTTAGAGTTGTTAGTATTAACTTTCTTCATATAGTTATATTTGCTTTTGAAAAGGGTTGTCATACTTAAAAGTTTCTCATGGGTTCCCAGGTCTGAACTAAGCATTTATATAGATATATCACATAATTTCTTTCCATTTATATGTTGAATTAACTAATAACTTACATTCCAATCTTTGATAGTATGCGTTATGATTCACTATCAAACCCAATTTTTACACAAGAGTATTAAAGATGAAAAGAGCACGAGTGTGGATAATGGATAGCTGGCAAAAATAGTAAGGTGGGATTGGTTAGAAAGAAAAATGAATAATCCAGGTTTTCTGGCACACAGTCATAATCCCAGCTGCTCAGAAGGTTGAGACAGGAATACCTTAAGTTCAGTGCAGTCTAGACAGTGTGAGAGACCCTATACTGGATGATGCTCAGTGGCTGAGCAGCTGTATAGTATGCACAAGGTCCTAGGATCAACCCACCCTATTACCACAGAGAAAGAGACGGTGACGAGGCTTAGGGGGAGGTAGAGAAAAGGAAAAGAGAAAAGGGGGCAGGTGAGAGTAAAACCATAAATTATTAAAAAAATTAGTTAAGAGGCAACACTGCATTGTGGGAAATATATGGCCTTTGAGGTTAAATAGACATTTTCTTGTCTTGTGAATAGTCAGTCAGGTGAACTGGTAGTATTTCAAGGCATGTACTTGTCTTACCTGGGCAGTCAGCACCTGAAATTATTACCTTTAGAAATTCTATCCCTCATACCTTTAAAGTTCTCTTTTCCTATAGGTTGCACTACAGTCTCAGTAACTCAGCTCATTGACAAGAAATCCAAAACTTATAGTCTACTTTCTTTGAAATCATAAACACCACTATAAATCTACCACCTAAAATATCCTAGTTGAATATATTCTATTCTCTACTGCCACAGAGTTGCAGCATATAGTAAATGTAGTCCAGGTGGTAGGTAGAGTAAGGTCTGAAGGTCTGAACTAAACTTGGATTCTCTCAAATATTGTGAAAAATCACTCCTAGAATATTTTAAATAAATCTCAGTTTCACAGTGTTATGGTTTATGTCTGTGTGTCCCCCAAAGCCTCATGCGGCCAGGGGGTAGGCTTTTAGAGTTTGCTTAAGGGTGTGAGAGCTGCACCCGCCCTGGGGTGGATAGTTTGCATATGTAAGGGACAGGAAAAGAGTGCTTGAAGCCATTCCTCCCCCATTTGTTGCTGGTGTGTGCTTGTTGCTTTTGCTGTTGTCTGCCACCCTGAGCTGTAGCTCTCTGCCATGTGCCACTCTGCCTTATAATCTGCCAAGTATGGACTGAAACCTCCACAAACTGTAAGTGAAATAAACCTTTCCTTCCTTAATTTTGGGCGTCAGGTATTTTGTCCCAGCAGCGAGAAAAAAGTAACCAAGACACACAGTGTCTAGAAATAGGTACTCTAGAGTTAGATTTATGATGGAGCTACTTTGTAACTGTCAGATGATACACAAGTAGCATCCAAGAGTAAACTCCAAGAGTAAACTAGTGATATTTCTGTCTTCTAGATTACACATGAGAGGTACTTTTTGCAGGATCTGACATTCCTTGGAGTCCTAACAAATATCAATGCCTTGCTCATATGTTCTTCCTTGTTCAAAATGCCTCAGCCACCTAGTCAGTTCCTACTAAAAAACATGTAGCATGACACTTCATATCTGCTTTCAGATAATCTTTTTAAAATTATTTTCTTCTCAAATGTAAAGAAGAAGAAGGAGGAGGAGAAGGAAGAGGAAGAGGGGGAGGAAAAGAAGAAGAAGTAGGAGAAGAAGAGGAAGAAGAAGAAGAAGAAGAAGAAGAAGAAGAAGAAGAAGAAGAAGAAGAAGAAGAAGAAGATGAAGAAGAAGATGAAGAAGGAGAAAGAGGAGGAGAAGAAGAAGAAGGAGAAGGAGGAGGAGGAAAAACAGAAAGAGGAGGTGGAGGAGGAGAAGAAGGAGAAAGAGGAGGAGGATGAGGAGAAGGAGAAGAAGAAGAGGAAGAGGATGAAGAGGAGGAGTGCTTTGGTTGATATTTTGGATTGAACTGTTATCTCAAGAAGATATGTTGAAGATCTAACACTAGAACCTCATTTGGAAATAGTGTTTTTCATGTATAATTAAGGCTAAGTCATACTGGAGTAGGATGGCTTCTTAGTCCATTATAATTGGTGTCCTTATTAGAAGAGAGAAACAAATGCATATAGTTACAGACCCTGGAGTTATACTGCCAAGAATTGAGGAATACCTGGGCTATCTCAAGCGGGAGATGTAAGAAAGGAGCTTCCCATAAAGGCTTTGAAGACAGCATCACCCTACCAATCCTTTGATTTTGGACTTTTACCTTCCAGATCTTTTAGAGAATACATTGCTGTTTTAAATCATTTGATCTGTGGTGCTTTGTTATGGTAGCCTTAAGACACTAATACAGTTAATGTGGAGTTAAGGAAAAAAAACTCTCAGGAAAGTGCTTGATATACAAGATTCAACAAAACTTTTATCAGGTGTGAAAATGTGAGGTAATAGGGAGTGAAGCCAAAGCTTTCCCACTGAGCTATATCCCCAGTCTTTTTTAACATTTATTTCGAGAGAAGGTCTCTCTAATTTACTAAGTTTCTGAGGCTGGGATGGAATTTGTGATCCTCTTGCCTCAGCCTCCCAGACTGCTGGGATTATAGGTATGTGTCACTTTACCTGGCTAATGAATCTTAATTTTCATTAGCTGTATGATTTTCTTCTGCCATAAAATAAATGCCTTGAGCTTAGGAGTCATACAGTGTGTTGTTCTACCCAAGAACAAGACTAATACATAATACATAATACAAAATACAAATTATTATAGAATAGTGACACAGAAGAAAGTAAAACAACTACTTATGAAATATGTTTTGGATAAATAATTAGTGAAATTTTCTTAATTGTTCAATCCTCCAAAAGGAATAGTGGAAAAAATGTAATTGTTGATAGATTGAGTCAAATAGCTGTCACTTAGGAAGTTAGTCTCTGCACAAAAATAGATAATATTAAGTATATCTATAATTGTATACTTGGCCAATCATTTCAAAAATAAAGTGTTAATGAAATGACTGATGGAAGTCAAATTTTAAAAGTTCGGAAAATAATTGTTCACTTCTTTTCAATAAAGGAAACACTTGAATACTTATCTTCTTTTTTTGTTGGTTGAAGTTATCTATGATGACACCAATGAATAAATTCAGAGTGAAGAATGATCCAAAGATGATAAAGATGACAAAATAAATATACATGTAGAGGTTGTATTCATATTTGGGCTGCTGGTTTACCTATAAAATTGAAAAAAAGTGGTGTGTTCATAATAACATTCATCATTTTCATATTTTCATGACTTGACAGAGTAATCCTAAGCATGCTACCCTAGATAAAGTTGGTATTTTAAAAGCTACAGCATTGTTGAGTCTTAAACTAGTTGTTTTTAAAAATTTACTCAACATTAAACAAGTATTTAAAATGATTTCCATAGTGTTCAGATGACTCTAAAGGACATGTGTAGTACTTGTTCTCAGATTGGTAGGATTATATAGTAACTAAACAATCTAATATATTTTTTTTCCCAGTAAAACCTGTAAAGGGGAGGATGCCATACTTATGTAAATTTTATTACTTTTTTGCTTTGTTATAAAAATACCTTCACTATGTTTCATGATAATATGAACTAGCTAATAATCTTTAAATTTTCTTAGCATGGAATTTATTTCACATAAACTCTTGCAAGTTGCTTAAAAATATAAGGCAGTAAAGACCATGAAGAAAAGAAATTCATGTTTACTGTGACAAATTAATATTTACTGAACATTTATTATGGCCAGATTATTCTAAGTATTCTGTGTGTACTTTTTTTTATCGGATCCTCATTAATGACCTTATGAGGTAGGCTCTGGGTTATTTTCCTCTCACAGAAGAATAAGCCAAGGCTCCACAAGGGAAAGTGCTTTGCTCACAATCAGTTGCACAGCTTGGACTCTGTGATGGAGCCACAGTTTGAGGCAGGCTCTGGGTCCAATGCTGTACTCTTGCTGCGAGGGCACTGTCAGCTTCACTGCATTTGTACATATCAAGGGCCCCACGGCACTATAGTTTAAAGCACTGAACAAAACTAACGAGAGTTTTTAAATTGTAAGTTTGGATAGAAATGTTAATCAGTACTTACATTGACAGAATCAACTGCTGCATACATAATATCCATCCATCCCTTAAATGTTGCCTGTAAATATCACATGTATAGAATTAGAATGTGAGGCTCATGCTCTAAAATTATCATAAATATAATTATAAATTTTAAACATAAATTTATTTATATATAAATGCAAATTTTGTCTACTTAGTCTTACAACATTTATTACAAAATGTTAAATTAGTAAGTTTTGCTGTATTTCAAAATACCAATTAAATATAAAGATGCTTTAAAAAAGAGAACAGATTCTTAAATCATATGCTAAATCTTAGTCTTAATTATTTCCAAATTATCATAATGGCCTGTGAAATTTGAATATGTATTTTTATATTCTCAAACAAATAGATTTTTATGATGATGGCAAGAAACTTTTCTTCCACTTTTAAAGAATTTTCTTTCATGAGTAGGAAGTCTTCTCATTCCCCTATAGGGTAGTTCTGGAAGTCCAATGTGACTATTTTTGAAGTAGTGTTCAGAAGGTGCAATGGTATGGATTGAAGTTCTACCAAATAGTTAATTCTGGATTAATATCTCAAATGCAGCAAAACTATGCTTCATAACCATGCTTATACTCATACAGTCTCAAAAAGATAATCTTGATTTTAGAAGTCACCTAGTACTTTCTCTTTAATTTTTAATTTATAGAGTATTTAAATGATGAGCAAGAGCTTTCATTGTATATCTAAGTATTTATGGAAAGAGTCACTTACAACTTGAAGCAAAGACAGGTAACCGAGTCCAACATTATCAAAGTTCACTTTCAGGTTTTTCCAGCGCACATCAGTAGTACCATTCATAAGGGCAAAGCACTCAGAACGATTCTGAACTTTAGTTTCCAGAAACCGTGACCCATCTGTGGTGTTAACACACTCATAGAACTTGCCAGCAAACAAATTCACACCCATGATGCTAAATATTAGCCAGAATATGAGACATACAAGGAGCACATTCATGATGGAAGGAATCGCACCAATGAGCGCATTCACAACCACCTGGTATTAAAGAGAAAGAACAAGTAAGATTAGTTTTAAAAAGGTTATATACACAACATCAATGCAGGGTTAAAGAAATCAGGAAAAGGCACCTTTGAATATTTAAGCCATCGAGTCAACTAACTGGCATGCATATATTGTATACCTACTGTATTCTCAGTAGTGTGCCAAGAAAGCTGTGACATGAGCTTGTGATCAGCAAATTCCCAAATTAAATGATAAACACAGTAAAATTATTAGCCAAAACACAAGACAAAATAACAAAGATGATAGTACAGTTTAAATAAGCAAATGTTTTAACAAACCAAAAACCTGATATTCATAAGGTGAAGTCATAAAATCTGCACATTGTAGAAAAGAGAAAATATATAAATGATGAAAAAGAAATTAAAGGTACATTTAAAGTCTCATGATCTTAGAATTACCAGCATCAAAGATTCCCCCATACTAGAAAAGTATTAGTATATATTAGGTGGACTTAAGTCTAGGATTCTTAGTAGTTTGAACTCTTTGCATTTAAGTGGTTCTAAAAATGAGAGTAATCCTGGACTTCTTATTCTAAATTGAAAATTTTTGCTTTATTGCGTTTCCTCTGCTACTTATCACCAGTGATCTTGCTACTTCAATTTTCCTCCATGGCAACTTCCACAGTATTTTTACTCTCCAGATTTGCTGAATTATTCCATCCTGCAAAACTTACAAATCTTTTAACACTTCCGTCCTGGTCCTACAAACATGTTAAATGTTAATTTGTTAGGAAAAAATAATTGTGGTCCCTTTTTCTCTTCCAATATATTAAGCAAGTTCTCAAAGCACTTCCAAATGGGGATATTGGGGATTGCTCACCATCTATGACATTGTCTAGAACAGAGGTTAGCAAACATGTTCTTAAGTATTTTTAACCTATGTGGGTTTTGTGATCTCTATTGCAACTACCCAATTGTACTACTGCAGCCATAGTTCATACATAATGGGCATGAATGTTTTCTAATAAAGCTTCCTGTGCAAAAAATAACCAATTTACTTGTAGAGTGTGGGGTTTTGACCTATTAATCCCAGCAATCATTATTACTCTGCAGTCCATGGGGCAGCAAAGGCTTCATGGGAAAATGAAAACATATGATAATCATTGTGGTTATACTTTCTTTCTGGAGAGATGGTGAACTTTCATCAAATCCTTACAATGTGCATGACCTCCTAAAAGGTTAGAGAAGCCAAGACTAGAGATGGGGCTCATAGTTCTTCATCGAGCCTGCTCTCTCTTTCTTATTTCCTGCTACCTCACTATGCTTACCATCAAAGCATGTGGAGCCTCCTACTGATTTCTTTCAAACACCTGGCATACTTGACCGTGTACCTCTCAATCACAGGGTATCTGTGCTTTCAAAGTCTACTTGCCTATGACTTGGAACTTAACTCTTTCAGTCATGGTTCCAATGCCAAGTGAATGAGAAGCCTTCTCTGACTTCAGGCAGCACTTTCTGATCTAGTACTCCTGTAGCATCCTGTAACGGGCACCACAGAATACTGTTCCTGGGCCTGTCTGTTCTTTGACAGTTGGGTCTATTCACTCTTAGGGGATCTGGGGTCTATTTACCATTATAGTATGGGCTACTCATAGCACAAGAGTTCACAGACAGTGTTAAAAAGCTCCACCTCTAACAATGGAGCTAGATCCTTACTACTCTGATGAGATATGTTAGTAGAGTCAATAAACTTCAGAATCTGAGGATTCCAAAGGCACTTGTCACTAAATGCCTTAAATGCATCATTTGATTGTTTTTTCCAAAATAGCCCTTCCATGCAAAGAAATATTTCCTTCCACATGCTTAGCCAATATAAGTAAACAATTTTTGTCCTCAAAATATATTAAAACACTTTCTTAAATCATATTTACTAGTATTTGAGATAAAAAACAGAGTAAATAATATAAATTTATACACTGGCTTAATCACCAAAGGAAGCATTTTAGAAGGACAGATATATTTTCTATCTATGAAAAAAACAGTGCACCATTGCTCAAATAATTGAATCAATCACTAGTTCTGGATCGAGTTTAACAATCTACTAATCATCAAAACATTGCAGCAAAAATTCCAATACTACATTTCTTCATACAATGAAATGTATATTTTTATTCTTATAAAGAATTCATGAATTTTACTTATGAGCTTTTTATAATCATGCTCTCTGTTGTGTTTATGGTCCATATTACCTGGCACATTAACAAGCAGAGTTTACAGTCAGACTTGGATATTGAATGTGGCCCTTTTTATGTAACATGCAGTGTCAGGGCACATGAAACTCTTAGAGTTTTAGTTTTCTATAAATGCAATACTGACCCAATTTCACTTATTTTGAAACACTGTTTAAGGCTGGAATTTGCTTGCTACCCATTGTAGCTCTTTCAATAAATATTATTTCAGCACTTGATATAGATAAGTCCTTGATTTATAAACAAGAGATTGTTTCAAGACTAATAGTGATCTCTTGAATTTCTAGCAGAGGAAAAAAGTCACTTACTTGGGTAATTCAATTGCCTACCAATATGATAGACAGAAGATATTGATTAATTTCTTTATTAAATCATATACATGAAATATCATGTGTGTATGTGTATTTGCACCTATCATATACATAAACAGCCCATATCTATGAATGTATGCATATATGCATGAACATATATGTACATTTATATAAACAGTCCATAATTACTATATATCAATTTTTAAACATTCTGTGTGCCAGTAAAAAATAATAGTATATCAATGATTTCAGTATTTCTTACCCTCATTCCTTCAAATCTCGATAAGGCTCTTAGAGGTCGTAATGCTCTAAGTGTTCGAAGAGATCTAATGGGCCCAAGTTCTGAGTAGCCGAGAGTGGAAGCAACTAAAGTAACTAAAGAAACCTGTAAAAAATAAGTGTCATTAATTATTTCAAAGAAAGTCGAAAGCCTCAAGAGGAAAATTCAGTTCCAAAGATCACTAAGAGAAGGTCAAGTCAAATGGGCAAGATGCAGGTTTCTATCAAAAAACAGACTTCAAGCAATGTTAACCAAAATAAGAAGAAATCATAGAATGAAAGTAATTTATTATATCCAAATAGCAGTGATACATATTATTTTCAGACTGTTGTAATCAAAGGCTATGTACTTGCTTATGAAATTTCAAAGTTTAAACGGAGCAACCAGCAAAATTTCAATTGAAATAAAGCACACGGTACAACAAAATGTGATTCTAAAGCTGCCATATGTGTGGTATGAACTAAATTTAAGCATGATTATAAATCTTGAAGAATCAGTCTGAAGATTCATAGTTTTGAGGTGATGAAAATTTCCAAGTAAGCTTACTTCTTTCAATTACTCAAGATTGGCACTGTTATTTTTTCAGTCAAAAATGTCCCCTACAGGGTCACGTCCTCTGAGGTGGGGCTTTGGGGAGGTGGTTAATGTAACGATGAGTTCCTAGCTGATGTTCTGTGAGAGGTGCGACCCGATTTGTAAAGGTGACAGACTAGGGGCTGACCTGGAAGGTAAATTCTTGTTCAGCCCCTTCCTGTCCTGAGCCTCCTGCTGTTTCTCTGCGTTCAGCCATCATGACGTGGGCAACTCTCCTTGGCCACGCCCTTCACTCATGCTGCTTCTGCCTTGGGGTACCGACCATGGACCTGTCCTCTGAAACCCTGCGCTACAACAAACCTCTCCCTCTTTAAGTTTCAAGTATGAAGTATTTTGTCCCATGATGGAAAGGTGACTAATACAGGCACCAAAGATCTACCCTGTAATAATTTACAAAAGCAATTCTCAGTTACGTAGAATAGAGAATGACCGTAGGTGGTCTTATTGGCCTCCCAGTGAGCACACATATGAGAACTTTATTATATTGATAGATCAGACGTGATGACCATAGCCAGTTATCCTTCAGGAATTTGTGTTCTTATCAAAATTTATCTCAAAAAAAAACATGGTTAAGAAAGAAATCAATATACATTTGAATAAAGACAATAGTGAGTTCGAACTTAGGTGGCCTTAGATTTGGATCTGTAGATGATTAAGCCACATTTATTTTTTTATTTTTGCTTAAGCCAAATCTAAAATATTAATTTATTTCCTATTATGTAGCAGAAGACAATGTCTAAGAACAGCATTTGCAATATATTTACTGTGAACTAAGGTAGGGAAGAAGAGATTCTTGTTTCCCAGGAAAGAAGAGCAACAACTGAGACATAACTTCCTTTATTTAACATTTAAGGAGTAAAAAAAATTCAGTGCTCATAAGTTCACTGCTGCTGCCATTTAAGACAAGTGAATTGATTTATGAAGTAGGAGGTACTGACATTACCTTTTTCCATATATTTACTTTAGAATATCCCACTAAATGTAGCCATACTTTTTTTTCCTTTTTAATTCCTTACAGCCCGCAGAACAAATGACACCACATATTACTCTTAAATTCACTCAGTCATTTAGAGTCATTATTTTCCACTGAAGTGCACTTAAAACATAAGTATGCTCTCTTTTTAGTCAATAAAAACTTAGCTTTTAAATATCTGTGACAACTGGAATAGCCCATAAAGAAGCAGTAGACCTGTTCTCCTAGCAACTAAGTGATACTGTATATAATTTATGAATATTGAGAAAGCTACAATATAATCTGTAACGAAGAATACATACATATTTATATATACACCTAGCTAGTTAGCTATGCATACATTTATATATACACAAATATATGTCCATACTGATGAATTATGATTAATCAAGTAAGTTTCAAATACAGTAATCAAAATTCCTGCAGAAATGATAAGAATACATTCTCTGAATAGCAAATCAAATAAGAAATCAAATCAGTGAATGAGAAACTTCAATAAGCACTGAAGTAATCCGCAAGACTTGTTACAATGGTTTGCTGGTTTCTGTTTCCTCTGGTTTTAGGGGAATTTGAGAAATTTTCATCTTTAATGAGTTCCCGCCTACAAGTCCCGAGTTTGGTTCAGAGATCACACTTTGAGAACAACTACTCCAGATAAGGTTCTTGATTTGGGGGAGGGGGAAATTCACACTGGGCACAGGAGTGTGCACCTGCAGTCACAACTACTTGGGAGATCAGCGCAGGAGAATTTCAAATTCTGAGCAAAATGCAACCCTGCTGCAAAACAGACAATCAAATAAACAAACAGACAAAGAAATTCAAACCCTTCTCCAAATCTGTACCTTTAGATTTTCATTTCTATCATCAAGAATATCACGTGGAATTTTGTAATATGAAAATGTTACATATGCCTATGTATGTCTATGTTTCTAAAAAAATTTAATTAAAATTTCAAATTGAAGCTATAGACTTCCCTGAATTCTGCATGTTATATACTCCTGAGTAAGATATTACATATTGAAAAATTGTCAGTTCAGATATTTAAATATAGAAAAATTCTATTGTTAAAAGGTCACATCTCTTGGTTTAAAAATTTAACTCTACTCATCTTTTATTTCTTAAACTGAATAATGACAAGTATTTTATGATACTTTGAAAGTTTTTAAGCATCTTAAATTTTTTATAGTCTAAAAGCTCTAATCACATATAAACATGAACAGAACAGGAAAATAATACATTCTTTATACTTTTTTCTTATTTTGACTAGCATTTCTTTAAAACTCTGCTATTATCAAATGTGTTAATCACATAATATTTTTCTTCAAGTGGTAACTAGATATATAAAAGGTAAATTAAAAATAAAAGATATAAAATCATTAATGTTAGTTCAAAAGTTAGAATTCTCTTTCAGAGAATTCTACATGTTGTATAATGTGTGGCTGAACACTGGAAAAATATTTTGCATATAATTTGTACAATAATTAAAAATATTACATTTAATGTTTGATATATTGTGGTATAAAAAACAGAATTTATTGGGCTAAATAGCAGCTGTGTAATTGATCTTTTGAGTAAATATGACTAGTTGCTTTCAGTTTTTCTGCAGTCAGGTTTGATATTAATGATCACATATAATTTGTTATCATAAATTTCAGTTATTTGTAGGAAAATGGATGCACCTTGAGACCATAATGCTAAGTGAAATATGTCAGACACAGAAAGTTAAATATCTCATGATTTTTCTTCTGTGAGAAAGCCAAACCATAAGTAATTGTAGAGTAAAATAAAAGATAGATTACAGGAAACAGGGATGTAGGGCTTTTGTTGATGGAAAGAGGACCTAGAGTTGGGCAGAAATGAGGGAGAGGAAAGGAATGGGAAGGAAAAAGGATTAAAATGCATTGTGCACATGCACCAGTTCCCCATAATGAACATATTCATTATGTGACACAATTGTGTACTTATAAAAAAAAGTAAAAAATAATGTTTCTTATTCTTATTTGAAAAGTATGATGGCGCAAACCTTTGTTTAAATCTTAAAGTACTTGGTAGTATAAGTATTTCCATGTTGTTTTCTAATTATTCCAGGCATTGACTGGAAAACAATTCTCTAAAACCTATGAGTGATTATGTTTCTTCCATAATCACAAAAGCTAGGTTTCTGAAAAATCTAAGAAATTAGTGAAAGCCTGAAGAACATAAGCAGAGAAAAATGAAACAGAAAGCTGGGATTATACCTATATGCCACTATGCGCATCTCTGTGAAAACACTTTTGCTTTGTTAAAAATCACATATAGCAAAGTACTCTTCCTTATTTTCCACCTTCCAATTTTGTAACAGTATTTACAATTTTTTAGTTGAAATTATTAGTGATTATTTCTGTGACACATTGTCATTCCACAGATGAAGGGCAAATGTATGTTTGAGGTAGGGAAAAAGTTATGACTAATTTTGTCTTTTATTACAGTATGACTTAGCTAAATATTTTGAAGTTCTGCATTTTCCTTCCAGTAACATAAACTCAGTTTTTGGCCTACTGTTTTTATATAAACTTTAGCTCATGTATCAGACAACTTGTGTTGTCCTCATTATCTTTAATCTAACCTTATATTGTGAAAAAATCAGTATTTCCTCTAATCTGAGAACCTTAATATTTTCTTCTCCTTTACCACCTTAGAGAGTTTTGTTGTTAACCTTAATTGGGATGATATCACTTTGTTGTCACTTTGTTGTTAATCTTAATTGGAATGTCACTTTGTTGTTAATCTTAATTGGAATAATATTTAAATTACATATTTATAGAAATTACATATTGTCTGATAGCAAAAAATATATACAAAAGCCCATTGTAAATGTTAGAATGGTACAGAAGAGAATTCATATTTGTGGAGAGATCTCTATTCTATCCTCACAGATATATTTCTACTTGCTGTATTAATAATTCATAAAAATACAAACCTGTACCCTAAAAATACATGAGGTTAAAAATATAAATATAGCAGCATATAATGTTAGTGAAGATTTTAATGTACTTAGTAAGAACTGCCTTGTAAAATTTACTTCAAAATACTGTACTTACATCAACAATTAAGAAATCTAGCCAACACCATGCATTGGTGAAATATATTTTATACCCATATGCCACCCATTTTAAAAGCATTTCCAGAATGAAGATGTAGGTGAATATCTTGTCAGCATACTCCAGGATAGTCTTAATGGTTCGTTTTTTTTCAATATATATATCTTCAAAAGCCTGTGGGAAAAACATTGAAATTTCACTTCATGTACAACTTAAAATTTATGATTCATAACAGTATAAGTAATACAATTCTGATAATGAGGGCACTGAAATATAATAGTTGTAAGCCAGCTGTCTTTCTACTGCATGACTACTTGCAACATAAGCTTCTAGCCTTTCAACAGTTATTAAAAGGGAACACAGAGAAGGAGCGCAAAGAATGAAATTACTATTAATCCTTTAAGAGCCATAACGCTGGTACCTGGGGGGTGATTCGCTTGCATTCGGTTTTTCTTTTCTCCCCATTCAAATTGACTGAGAACTGGTAAGTTAAGACACAGTTCCTGGATCAACCCTTCTTATAAAACTTTGTGCATCCTCACTATCCTTTATACCCACGCATAGGGTACGGAAGGTCTCTTTTGGTTCCTATAGGTTTGTACCTCCTGGAGCCTACCACTATGTGAAGAACATAGCAGGAGGTGAGGAAAGGTTTGCTAACTGAATGATTGCAGTCTCTTAATAAGACCATAGGGCCCAAGATTATTTCTTTTAAACTCTGCATCAATATTTTATTTTCATCTAAATATTCTACAAACCACTTGTAAATTCACTTCGGCCAATATAATAAATGACAGACAACGATATTGTAGCTATTGCCATAACTTGGTTGGGAAATAATCCAAATGAATTTAAAGAGCTGAGCTCCCTGAGACAATGAAAATGATCACCGATCTAACTAGGTAGGTGTTAGAATTGTCTGTTTCAGGTTGAAACGCTACTTATCTGTGGGAGGTAATGAAAGCTAAAGGATCTGTGTTTTTGCTGGTTAAGATTACCCTACTTATCCAGGGTGATGGCTTGTGCCATTTTCATTTTTTGCCCAAATTTTGTTATCAATATTTAAAAAATTATCTTTTGCCTTTCTGTAAACTATTAATACTAATATTAAAAACAAACAAACAAACAAGATAAATTGGAGCAGAGAGAATAGACAGATCCACCAAAATGCACAAAGATGGTGTCAAGTTGAGGCTCTGAATGCCAATTGACATGAAAGTTCAGGGGAAGACTTGTACCCAATAGGAATTTCATGTCCCTTTCTTCAAGTTCTAGCGTAATCAGGCAAGCCACTTTAAAATAAAATATGGAGCCAGGTGTGGTGGCACACACCTGTAATCCCAGCACTCAAGAGACTGAGGCAGCAGGATCATGGTGAGTTGTGAGTTCAAGGCCAACCTAAGCTACATAGTGAGCTCAAGGCCAGCCTGAACTGCATAGTGAGACCCTGTCTCAAAAAAAAAAAAAAAAAAAAGACAATAGAAATAAAATATGCCAATGACCCATCCTCAAATAACAAAGACAAGGAAGTGGCTTGGTCATGAGAAACCTATTCTTAGAACTGCAGTACAGGTTTACAGCAGGACCATCACTGAATCTTCATGGTGAGATTCAGATATCCTGTTGCGTAAATATCATGTGATTTGTTTCAGAGCTTGACAACTCTTCTGCAGGGAAACCTAGCTCCCAGGACTGTTTCTGTGGATGTGGGAGAAATCAAACAAAGATGCCATTATGTGAGCTATACCTGATTTGGGTGTTAGGCTTTACTGATTTCAGTTATCTCATTTATTTCTTTTATTTCTTTTTGGTGTTTTCTTTCAAAGCAAAAGACAAGGTGTTACCTCTTGCTGAATTGCATTTTTGTCACTTACTATTATGCAACATTTTACACTCTATTTAGCCTTTTTATTGGTTAAAATAAAAAGAATACCAAAATTTCACAGGTTTGAAAGTTCAATGGGAAAATCCACACAAAAATTTGAGATAGGATAAACATGTACCAAATGATAGCTATTTCTTTTTATTTTGTACACAGGTATTTTTATTTTTTTGGTTAATAGATGTTTATGCAAAGAACAGCTTTCGGTTTTGAGAAAAATGAGTGAAAAGTACAAAGTTAGGTATTTTTAAAATCTAATTGCAAGGAGTGGCGTGTGCCCTGCACCGAGTGAGCAGGTGCTCCAAGAGCTGCTTGTCCTGTGGTTGGTGTCAGTGCTTTACTCCCACGGCCACAGTTTCCAGCTGAGACTTGCATAGAGAACCAGGTATTTCCCATCTACTTCCTGGGGGCAAAGCTGGCGACCCAGGACCCCACCGCCAGTACAGACTGAGTCTCTGCCCTCCGTGCACCAGCAGAAGACAGGAGGTCCTCACTTAGAAGCCCCAGGGACTGCTCTAGCTGGGGGGCACATGTGGCCCCTCCCTGCACATGCCGTGCGCTGAGTGAGTGAGTGCTCCAAGAGCTGCTCCAGCAGTTCGAGTTCATGCTTTGCTTGCACCCGGACCACCTAGGGGGTCTCAGGCATGGGCAGTCTGTGATTGCTGCCTGTCCAACCTACATCTGGTTCCTGTATGTGTCCTCAACTGACTGGAGACACAGAATCAGGTGGTTTACAAACTGTCTACCCTGCAATTTATGCCTGGGTTTTGAATGTACCCTGAACTGCCTGAGGACATAGGTCCACTGGACAGGGACTGTCACACCAGTAGAACCCAAGTCTGGGCCATGCACGTGCCCTAAACTGCAAGGGGATGCTGGATCAGATGGTCTGCCATCAGCTGACACCCATGCCCATGTCTGAGATGTGGGATAACTAGATACAAATCAACAACTGCCGGAAAACCTGAGACATATGTAGTGCTTCTCAGAGGTCACTCAGGAGCAAACCTGACAACAGGAAAACTAGGGACACCAATGGCCTTTGCTGTGCAGCCACTGAGGAGGGAAGTTTACATTTGCATCCAGTTTACATTCTGCATCCAGTAGCAAACATGACAAAACGAAGGACTAAAACACAATCCCAGAACTCCGTCCCACTCAAAACAAGTCCAAGAGACATTGACATAGGAGAGCTTTGTAAACACGTGCCTGAAATAGCTGAAATGATTGCAATGGAAGTAAAGAAACAACTCCATAAGGCCATAGAAGAGATGAGATCATAAATAATGTCTTAAGCAAAAAATGAAATGATAATAATAATGAAAGAACTGCTCAAAAAGTCTGAAGAAGGAACATATATGAAAGTAGAAGAACAAAGGCAATGGACAGAAGTATTAAATGAAAAATATAGTAAGGACTTAGAACACATGAACCAGACTCAAAGAGACTTCCAGGAAAATAAAGCTTCCACTGAAAGCTGCCAAAATTGCTTGAATGAAGCTGAGGCTAGAATCTCAGACTTTGAAGACAGCATGGCAGCTAGCGACCATGAAAGAAAGGATCTCATAAAATCAAAAAGGATCCAGGAAAAGTCAATTCAACAGCTGCAAGAGGAGGCAAAGAAGAATAACCTACAACTTATGGTAGTTAATGAAAGAGCAGGAGGCAGCACAACTGACAGACAAAGAATATTTGCAGAAATAATAGCAGAAAATTTCCCAAGTATGGAAACAGAATCTGATATACAGGTAAATGAGGCATACAGAAGTCCAACCAACCACAACCAAAATAAAATTACACCCAGACATACAATAGTTAAATTTCCAGATCTCCAGCAAAAGAACAGAATATTAAAAGCTGGTAGAGACAAGAAACAGATTATTTATAAAGGAAAGCCCATCAGAATCACAGCAGACTTCTCAGCACAAACCATCCAATCAAGAAGAGCTTGGAGTGAAGTATTATAGGTTCTGAGACAGAACAGCTTCCAACCAAGACTGATGTACCCTGCCAAACTATCCCTCAAATTCAATGGAGAAATAAAATGTTTTCATGACAAAGAAAAATTGAAGAACTTCATGAGTACCAAGCCAGTGTTACAAAGAGTACTAAAAGATATTCTACACAGAGAAAAATCTGACCACAATTTGAAGAAGAACGGTAGAAATGAAATGTCAAGAAAAGCAAGCAAGTAAATAGGTAGAAAATGTAGGACACCAGCACAAGTAAATAACATGACAATGATAAATCAATATATATTGGTTATAACTATAAATGTAGGTGGCCTCAATTCTCCAGTAAAAAGAAACAGACTGGCAGAGTGGATTGAAAAATAAAATCCAAAGATATGCTGTATAGAGGAAACACATTTCACTCAAAGGGAAATCCATAGACTAAAAGTCAAAGGATGGAAAACAATCCTCCATGCAACAGGATCCCACAAAAAAGCAGGGGTAGGTATTCTGTTTGCAGAAAATGTAAACTTCAAACTGACAACCATCAAAAGAGATAAAGAAGGTCACTACATACTAGTCAGAAGAAAACTGTAAGAGGATGAGGAAACAATCATAAACATGTATTGGACACAAACCAAATATTGGAGCTCCAAATTATATAAGACAAATCTTAACAGGCATAAAAACCCATATAATTAATAACACTGTTGTAACAGGGGACCTCAAAACCCCTTTGACACAAAGAGATAGGTCAACTGGACAAAAGATCAGCAAGGAAATAACAGATCTGAACCAAAGCTGTGAACAAATGGACTTAGTAGATGTCTACAGAGTGTTCCACCCCACAACATCGAATACACATTTTTCTCAGCTGCACATGGGTCTTTCTCTGAAATAGCATCCTAGACCATAGAGAATACCTACTGAAATGCAAAAGTATTGAAATTATCCCCTGCATATTATCTGACCACAGTGCAATGAAATTTGAAATAAGTGACAAAAGGAACTCCAAAAATTCCATAAACACTTGGAAATTAAACAA